CCCCCCCCCTTTTAAGAATTGTTTTTAAATATTGAGGCTGCAAGCAGTTATTGGTGTGAATGTTTTTGTGTATTGTTTTTTTGTTGTTCTTAAATTTGCTTTGTAGTCTGCTGCTGCAGATCTGTTTCAAAATGCTTGAAAGCTCATGTTTTGTCTTGTGATTATCTCATCTCTTGATCTGTGATTTGCATCTTTGCACTTCTATTATTTCAGACATAGTTTTTAGAGAGAGTGTTTTCAGCTTGTCATTGCTCAGGTGGAGCAACTGGATAAAAGGACTGAAATAGCTACTGCTGTGATGCATTATTAACAGGATCACAGAATTGTAGAGCTGGGAAAGGACCTCTGGAAGTCAACCAGTCCAGCTCCCTAAAGCAGGTTCCCTAGAGTAGGTTATACAGAAGATCATCCAGGCAGGTTTTGAATATCTCTAGAGGAGGAGACTCCACAGCCTCTTTGGGCAGCCTGTTCCAAATGCTCTGTCACTCTCAAAGTATGGTTGGGTTTTTTTTTTCCCACGTTTGTGTAGAACTTCTTATGTTTCAGTTTGTGCTTGATGCCTCTTTTCAGCAGTGCTCAGTGACAAGAGCCTGGCCCTATCCATTTGATTCCTCCTTTCAGGTATGTATAAGCATACATAAGATCCTCCCCTCCTCCCTCCCAGTCTTCTATTCTCCAGGCTGAGCAGTCCCAGGTCTCTTGGTCTTTCCTCGTAAAGGAGGTGCTGCAGGCCCCTAATCATCTCTGTAGCCCTCCACTGGACTCTGTAAAAGTTTCCTGCCTTTTTGAGGAACCCAGAGTGGGACACAGTACTTTGTGGTTAGCAGCTTGCCAATTTTTTCCTGACGGACTGGACTCTATCACTGAGATTGGAGGTTTTCAAGTGAAATCCACACCTTTTGTCATCTCACCCCCTTCTCTGAAGGTCTTTTTGAAAAGGCAGATTAAATGTGATGGTTTTGATATCTATACTTAGTCAGTAAAGAATGGCAGCTGTCATTCTGACAGTGAATTTGTTGCAGAGGATCAGTCTTCTCTCTTATTTTCTAAACCGTTCATATGTCTACAAAAAAATATTGGTAGATGTGTTTCATGTATATGAGAAAGTACACTTTTTAAAATTGACTGTAGACAATTTATCGATGGTTAGTATTTAAAAAGTAGTAGTATTGGAAGTATGTATCACTAGGCAAACAAGTTGCAAATACCTGTAAAAATGCTCATATGGATAATGATTTAGAGTATATCTAGCCTGAAGTCTTGGTTTGCAACAGTATTCGAACTTTGAAGGGAAGAAGAAATTGGGGGCATCGGCCTGCACTGATGTGCTGTATATCACCCTGAGTTTAGTGCTCTTTTCAGTCTTTTATGCATCTGTGCATTACGGTGTGCCCCAAGCAGCAATTTCCATTTTAAGCATCATGCTGAGGTAATGGATAACTTTGGTCTCCTTAATAGGCTGGACAATCCTGTGTTGTGAGTGTTTTTCCAAATAGTCCTGTGAATTGTGTTCACTGACAAGTGATGCCATATGGAGATAAGCTGTGCTCACAAAGAGGGATTAATGAGAGTTTGAAGATCAGTTTTGATAGATTTCTGTGATTCTTAGAATATTGGTGGTGGCTGATGGTAGCGTAGGAAGGTTTTTTGGAGAGGGCAGCAGTAATTGCACCAAGCTGCATGTTTTACATTATGAATCTCTTGAAGAAAGGGAGATGAGGGCAAATGCAAAGGCAACTGTGATAATCATGTAACTGATGGAAAGGCCAGAGTTTTTTAATTTTTTATCAAGATCCAAAGAAATAGTATTGGAAAACCTGTATCAGTTTGCCAGAACGTGCTAAATAAAGAAAAAACCTGGCCCAATCAAACTGCAACTCAAAGGGTAGATAGCCTTCTCTACAAATGGAACTAATGGCTTTCTCTGTACCTTTACAAGTTACTCCAGAAATCCTAATAAACTCTCAGCCAAATAGACTTCATACTTTGCCAGACAAGAGATTCTGAACTTTTGCAGATGAAAAGTAGATATAATGTGATACTTTACTGTGTGTTATTGTAATTCTGGAAGTCCTTTATCTTCCTTTCTTTATTTAGTCTACAGGAATAGATAAAATTGCATCACTTGTGTCTTCATTATATCCCAGGTGTTGCAATGGAATGTTATATAGAAAAGCTTTGAACCTTTTTTAAAAACATACAAATACTTCTTTTAGTAGTCTTTACACTCATGTAGATGTCATGTATGTTTATATTATCTACATCTGTGCTGCTTGGTAATTTTTCTTAAACTCATTTCAGCATTTTGTGAAAGCTAACAACATTTTAAAGATTTACTACTTGTACACAATGTGAATTGGTGTTTTACTTGGAAGGCAAATTTCCTTATATCAGAGACTCTAGAAAGCTTTATGTCGTACTGAATGATTTAATCTTCCTAAAAATTCTGAAGCATAAATTAATGTAAACTTTTTATCCAGTATTGGATGTTCCTTAGTTAAGTACGACAAGAGTTGTTTTGTGCCAGCCAGCCCAGCCTGAAGCATTGCTGAACCCCTCAGGGTTTAATGTCTTAGGATTCTATGTGGAGTAAATCAATGTAAATAAATGGGAAAATTTCTGGTAATCTTGTATAAGCTGTACTGTTTTATGGTAAGAGAGCTGCCTTGAAATGCACAAGGAAGTCATTATAAAACCTGCCTGATTTTGAGTTTTACTGTTAGGTAAATACACATTGTGACAAACTCCTATTTTTTTTCTTATTTACAAAACACTGTTGCTAGATTTAGGCTCTGGAAAGGAATCTTGCTGCTGGGTTTATGCTGGAACTTGGCTTCTTGTTTTTGATCTCTACAGTAGTTTTATGTCTGGGTAAATGTTAAAGATGCTTAACAAATCTTGCTTTGGTCACACGTTAATCTGGATTGAGATCAGTGTACATCCATCTTGGTACATATGCTATATTTTACCATATTTATTTTTAGCTATTCATTTTCTTTAAAAGTGCTTCTACATGTTCATTCTTTGTTTTCTTGAAGGTAAGGATAAAAAAGAATTAAAAAGAACTTGAGGAAAAGGAAGTGAGAACTTGCCTGTTTAGGTCTTGAAGTTGAAACCTTAAGAGCTGCCTGAATTTCAAGGATATCGTTTGTTTCTATTTTTTCTTTTAACAAATGTGTATGTAAAAACAATATTGTACCTAGTTTCAAAGGGAGCTGTATACGTAGTGAAAAAACTGTTTGGAGAATGTTGGGGTGGTGTTCTTCTGTCTGTACAGTGCATTATAGATTGTTTTGTCTTAATGTAGTTAACAAATGGTTTAAAAAAAAAAGTGTGTGTATGTGTGCATGTGTGTATATGTGTAATGGATGAGAAAGGCCTGGCTCAACTGAGTGCTGTAAAGCAACATTTTAGAAGAACCATCCAATTAACACATTTGTGTTGTTTCTTAAAATATTTTGAAACTCCTTTAGCCCATATTGCCATTACCCTGACAGCACCTAGTTGCAAACTGATGATTTGGTGACAGTGCAGGATAAGCTTTTTATGGATGTGTAGTTTTTAAATTTTCTTAGCAGACGTGAAAAACCTTTACTAAGGATAGTAAACTTAATTTTGACAAGATTAGAAAGTCATGCTAAGGAATGCTCTGAAGTCCAAAAGACTTCATCTAACAAATAATTCTTATTTTCAAAATACATTGTTATGATATTCTCTGTTGTCCTATGGAGAAGTTCCAACGCTAGTTGCTCTAACACGCACGATATGTGGCAAACTACTTGCATGGTAAACTCATCTAAAATTGGCTACTTGGTAGGTGGAATTGGGTAGTTAAGTCACATTTGATGTGTGTAAAAAATGCATAGGTTCTGTATTTCTAATTGATGTGATACTATTTAGTAATGAAAAAATGAAAGGCATAAGTCACAGAATCAATAATTCTCTTCAAACAGGATATCATT